CAGGCGCGGTTTCGAGAGGCATCATCGCAGAGCCACGCTGCTCCGCGCCCAGGTAAGGGACGGACCCTCTGCCCTCCCTCCCCTTCTCCATCGAGACTGTGTTGGGCGGGGCTGGATGCAAATAAGCGCTGCTCCTGAACAGAGCTTCTGAATCATCAGAATTTAACTGATGAAAGCCCGGAGCGCGGCGGCTAGGAGAAACCCCATCCTTACGGGGTCTGCCTGCCCAGAGCCCTGCTCCTCCGCACCACCCCGACACCCGTGCTCCTGCTGCTGGGGAGACCCAGTGCCCGCTCCCCACCCTGCTGCTGCTCTGGGACGGGCTCTGCCTCGCCGGAGCGCTGATTTCACCGCCCTCCCTGATGCTGAGCCCCACTCACACAGCGCTTCATCGTTGCCTTCAGGCTCAGCAGCAGGTTGCCCAGGTCGCCCACTTTCTGCTGCTGGTCCGTGGTGGTCCTCATGGCGCTGGGCAGGACCTCCTCCATGTAGAACCGCATCATCTCCGACATCGTCTGGCAGCCGAAGATCCCCTGGGGAGAGAGGAGGTAACGGCGTTGGGGGCTGGCCACCAGCGGTGACGTGCGTGGGTGTTCTTAAAAATCAGAATCGCGGCGGTGGTCAGAGCGCTCGCAGCACGTTAGCACCGCTCGCTGCAGCTACAGTGTGGGGGAACCATGTGTCAGCCCCGCTGCAGGCACACGTGTTACTGCTTGGCTGGAGAACTGTCCTTCTCCGACACTGAAAATGCCCCAATTTACAGTCTGCTTCCTTTCTTACAAAACACTGGCTGAAGGATAAGGCACTTAAATAAGAATTATAATTCTTACCTTAAATTCATTCAGCAGTTCAGGGCTGAGCAACTGGGTGCTAAGTTCATCATCTTTTGATTGCTGTAGAAGGACACAACGGAAACGTGAGCTTTACTTAGGCAGGCAGTCAACACTATTTTTCCCTTTGCCCTACCGAACAATCGTTTTCCTTGTTTGCATTTACGGTCTCGCTGAAGCGACGGCAAAGAGCCGCCGGCACGCTTGTGTGCGTAGCACAGCGACGCCAGATACAGGAGTCACCCGTTCTTTGGTCTGTAATCTTGCAGTGCAACTGCCATTAGGTCAAGACAGCGGTGTAATGAAATCACAAACTTCAGCACCATCGATTTCGTTAATGTGAAACTCCTCCTGCCGCTGCCAGCGCTGCACGCTCGCTTCAGCTGCAGAGGGTGTTTACGTAGGAGTGCTGATGCAAACCGCACCGCTCTTCAGATGGCTGTCGAAGCCATGGCT